GTTTGTCCCGTGGGAATTCAAACTGCTAAATATGTGTAGTTGGGGTTTTTCTTGTGGGTTTTTGGTTTTTTTTTCCCCTGAAAAAAAATACCAATTTTCCTGCAAGGAGTCTCACTGCTGCTCGAAGCATTTCATTGCATGGACTGGGGGTTTCCTTCTGGTTTTAAGTCAACATTTCCCCTCAAAATGTCACTCAGGGAAAGCTGCTTTTTTTTACAGCAAAAGTCTGTGATGACATTTTAAGTGGAGAAGAAAATTGCTGCTTCGTTTCAAAATGTCAACTTTGAGTGGGGTGGGCTTAGAGTATTTTTTTTTTCCATTCCAGCGTTTCCCAGGGGAAAAGCAAAATGGTTTTGTTACTTGAGTAACTGTGCCCCCCCCCATCATCCCCAAAATATATATATATATTTTTTTAACTTGTTTGAATTTTTGTAGCAAGGAAACTTTTGCCAAGAGAAGTTGTGCTCAGGTGGGATGATGCCTTAGGAAGGGACAGCCCTGTTGCATCCAAGCCTGAACCCTACTTGGCAAATTCCCTGCCACCAAACTTTTGTGGGGACCCGTGGCAGAGGTTCCATTGCTGCCGKCTGGTTTTGGTCGCTGTGGGAAGGATTAACAGCACATCCAGGTTTTGAAGCTCTCCTCTTCCTGCTTTCCCTCTGTCTCGTGCTCCTGGTTTTATTTCATACAGCTCTCCTGGAAAAAAGCTTGTTCTCGATTAGGCTGGCGACTGGAGTTATCTTCCTTTTATTTATTAGGGTAATTATACCTAATGATTCACATGCTCGGGGAGAGTAATTGCTCCCAAATCCAGCGCCGGCAGTGTTCTTACGCAGCCGGGGTGCAGTGATTCACAAACACATCTTTTCCTACAATTCATCAGCTGATGATCCCGTAATTGCTGACTTGGTTTGGAGGCACTTAAGGAGCGATGGAGGGGCCGGCGCTGCCATCGCGGTGTCCGGTTCCCTCCGGTGTTGTGATCACTTGTGCGTGTCTCCTCCCTGCCACCCTGAGACACCACTCTCCTCCTCTGTGAGTTTTGCTGCCGATTTTAGTTGGGTCGAGCCCCTCAAGTTATGGGATTTGTGCTTTCCAGAGTGACGGTGCCTAATCTTGAGGATTCCATGGCACRGCCCGGCTGAGGGAAAGCCAGGGCTGTGCCCCTCCATCCTCCCAAAATGTGGCAGTGGTGTGGTTTGACCCTCACCTCCTCACAGCTCTCAGAGCGTAGGAAATACTGGTGTGGAAAGCCAAACCCTTCAGGTTTTGCACTGAAAAAAAAGCTTCTGTGGATGGATTCCCCCTTCCCTGGGTGTCTAGCAGCCCCCTGCCTGCACTGCCCTATAGAGGGGACATGTGGGGACCCTCCCCTCAGGACTCCTGCCCATGCACCATCAGGGTGGGCAGGGACATCCCACGAGGGATGATGTGCTGAGTTCACCTTTCTGCACAGCTCCAGCCCCTGGAGAAACCTGGACACTGGGGGTGGAGGAAGGCTCCTGGGAGTGTTGATGTTCTGGGAGTGTTGATGTTCTGGGAGTATTTCAAAGAGTATTGATGTTCCCAGTGCTTCCCCGTGGCATCAAAAGGCATCCTGATGCTTGCAATTCCTCCTGCTGGCTTAAGGGGAGCCCAGGGTGATGGCTCTGGGGTGGCTCAGCCCCTCTGGAGCTGCCTTAGACAACAACATGGTGCTCAGCTGGAGGCTGCTGGTCACCTGTGCTGTCCTGGGCCAGCAAAAAGAGTTTTTTGGTGCTGTGTGGCAACCAGAGAGTGTATTGATACTTTGTTGGGAGATTTGTGGTGTTGTTTTGGTTTGGGGTTTTTGTTTTTTTATTTTTAGCTAGAAGAAGCTCTTCCCTACTCAGTCTGGGCTGCACTGCCTGAGGCTGCACCCACCACCCGTCCCCTCCTGCCATGGGCTCTACTCCATCTCCCATCCCACAGATGCCAGAATCGCTGCTGGGATGTGAGCAGAAAGGCAGGACGAGAGGAGGTGGCACAAACAGCCCTTTTTGATGGCCACTACTTGGCATCCTCCCCAGCACTGCTTGGGTGGGCTCCCGAGGGAGCCAGCCCTGGTTGCCCCTGCCCCAGAACATGGGGTTGTGCCAGCGCAGCTCGGTGAGCATTCACTGAAGGAACAGTTCCCTGGTTTCCTTCCCCCCACATCCAGCTCCTTAGTGGAGGATCCGTGCTTGTTCACACCAGTGCCTGGGCCCTGTCAGGAGCTCCTGCAGGCAGCCAGGAGCTGCTCCTAATGGGCTGCCAGGGGATTTGGGCTCTGACAGCTGGGTGCTGACAGCTCCCTGCAACTGCTCGCTCCAGCTGCCAGGTTCTTCTCTCCCTGGTCAGATGGWGAAGGATGCTCTGGCCTCCCCAGGGAGGAGGCTGGCTCCTTTTTCTCCTCTCACAGGTGTTTGTGATGGAGGGTTGTGGCACCCATTGCCTTGGAGGGGCTGGTAAAGCCTTGGGGGACAGTGGTGGCACAAGCAGGGGGTTCCCGAGCTGGAGGAGCCCTTGCAGGGCGATGCTCCAGGATGGGGATTGTGAGAGGGGAGGAGAGGAGGTCTGGGTGTAGCACAGAACAAGTCTTGTCACAGCTCCCAGCATGGAGTTGGGATGGGAGGCCCTTGTCAGCTGGGAGAGCTGGGAGGAAGCGCTGACACCTCCTGGGGCTCCCTCTCCAGCGGCTCTGGGGCTCCCCAAGCTTTCTCCTGRCTGACACATCGCCTCTCTGCTCTGTTTGATGCAGGGCTCCTCTGTCTCCCCACAGACCCTGTACAGGGGCTGGGGGGARTCTTGGGGGCTCCCTGGGGTCCGGCTCCATCCCAGCGGGGGCCGTGGCAGCCACTGCAGAGGGACTGTCRCATCACCCGCCAGCTTGGAGCGTCTCACAGCCTGCCGTCTTGTATGGCTTTTTATTCCTATGTGATTATACATCCCACTTCATATAGGGATTGAAGCCGTGCAGTACGCCGGGCTCCTGCGGCGGAGAGCAGCCCCTGCCCACGGGAGCCGGCCTCGGAGGAGCCACCAGAGCTGTCCCCTGGGATGTTGGAGGATTGCTGGCCTCAGCCTGGACTCCGTCCTGCATCCCAGGCTCCTCAGCCCTCTTGGGATGCAGGTGAGGGGTGCCCAGCTGCTTTGGGGCGAGGCCAGCACAAGCCCCCTTGCAAGGATGGGCCTGGTTCTGCACCCCATCTGCTGTGGAGAGCGCTGGTGACTGCACTGCTGGGCTCATCCCTGGGGAATCTGCTGCTTTGGTTTTGTCCACCACTGTCCTGGGAGCTCRGTGACAGCCACTGGCAGCATCTGGGTGCAGGCACTGCCAGCAGCACAGGGGAGGAAGAAGAGGAACAGATGCTGAGGAATGGCCACGACAGCAAGAGCTGCCCCGGGCACGATGCTCTTCAAGGTTTCTCAAGAGGTCTCAGCCGCTCTTTCAAGGTTTGTGTTGTATCTGTCACATTAGCGAAAATAGTGAAAATTGTGGCTTGTGGAGGAGATGAAAGGCAGCCCCTTGCMATGCCTCCATAAAGGAAGGGCCCCATTAACACCTAGTGAATTATTGGCCATTAATCAGGCTCCATGCAAAATAAAACCATCCACATTTATCATTATTGGATCCTTAATGAAGTGATAATGGGAATGCTGGGGAGCTGTGATATTAATGTCTTCTAAGAGGCAAGAGCAGAGCCAAGGGCGGCAGCCAAGATTTTTAATTTACTGCCAAAAGCTCGTGCTGTTAATAACGCCGTTACTTCTCCCAGCCCTTAGCACTGTTTGGCTACGAGCTGCCTGCTTAGGAGAGCAAATCAACCCTGAACAAATCCAGATTTTGTTCACCTGCTCCCCACCCAGCATCTGGGCATGTTTTTCCCACCTAGTGTCCCCTGCCCATGTGTAGGGATATGGCCAGGTAGCTGCTGGCCATCTTCACCCAACTGCCTCTTTCCTGAAGGCTGGCTGGTGTAGAAAGTTTTGCTTTTCTGATAAAAAGGGACTGGGAGTGTCAAACCTGAGTGGCTCTTGTTGTCTTCACTCACCCTGTGACTTTTCTCCTTAGGCACAAGCAYCCCAGAGCCAGGGTGGCCCGGAGCTGGTCCAGCACAGCCCACACGCCGGGGTTGTTTGGTGTGAGCACAGCCACATTCCTGTTTCTTCATTTGCACAGCTTTATTCCCATGGGGCCAATATCCTGTCCAGGATGGACAAGCTGCAAAATCCTGCTCAGCTGTGGTGACTCACTCGAGTTCCCAGTGGGAAAGTCATTGCTCCTCACAGCCCAGAGGCAAATTGTTACCAGGCAGGTAAGCGATGCTCTCATGTCTTAAGATTTGTGTTATCTCACAAATCCTGCTAAACCCAACCAGTGTGGACTAAATGTACATTGGCTCATGCATGGGGCCTTTTGCCCTTTTGTGAAGGGACTGCAGGTCAGAGGGAGCTGGCTTTGGGCTGGAGCAATAACAGACAATTCCCTGCTGAGCACTGTCCAGAGGAATAAGATGATGCTTTGTCTGTGAGGGCTGTGCACACTCCAGTGCTTCTTTTGTCCCTAGGCGGAAGCTGCACAAGATCCACCCAAACAACCTCTTGGAAATGCAGCTTCAAGTTATCCAGGTAGAAGTATTACAGAGGTATTTCTGTAGCCTGGGTGTCCTTGCTGAACCTCCCCCTGGCCTGTTAGCTCATCATTAGGAAAGAAAGGACAAGAACAAAATCCATACATAGCGGCCAAGCAAAGGTAGATGTGAAATGTGCTTCAAATAGCGCCATCCTTTCAACAAACCTTTTATTAGACTTCTCTCCTCCCCAACACACATTCTTTAATCGATATGAAAAGCCACCATTCAGGAAGCAAGGACACTGCTCAGGATGCCTGGGGTAGGCATTTCCCGGGGGAAGCCAGCCAGCATTAGTCCAAGCTCTCTGAGCGTGACTGGGAGGCAGCACAAGCAGCAGCTCCCAGGGTGGTGCTCAGCAGTGTGGCAGAGCACTGGGCAGGGGGTTATGGTGGGCCTGTGGCAGCGTGCCCAGGCTGGCACTCTGCTCAAGTGACCCCTCTGCCAGGCACCTCAGCCTGCAATCCGAGTCACTTGTGTTCTGCTGGAGCAGAATAGTCCAGGGAGCGTTTGCCACACTCTCCAGGTTGTGGAGCCAGCTTTAGGCAGTCATGCTGGCTGCAGCCCATACTCTGGCTGTATCGCTGCCCATGCTAGTGGCCCTGTGGAGCTGCCCTGCTGGGCATGGAGCAGGCGACCTGCCAGCGACCTCYGGAGAAAAACACACGGCACAAAGCAGCTTCTCCTGCACAACCACCCCCTGACATTACAGGGCCACAGCGAGCTCTGTAACGCTTGGCAGATTTTCCCCAGCAGATCTTGGAGCTGTTTGCTGCTGTGAGCAAGTTCAGGCATGTTACAGAAGACCWTCAGACTCTGAGGACAAATGAGATGCGTGGATGAGTTTAAACCACTGGGCAAGACTGGTGTTTTGAAAATTCCCAGGGTTGTGCCTGMCTCTGAGCCTGGGCTGTCGCCCAGACTGTCCAGCTGCCAGCCTGGCACTGACACTGGGCCCCATGATGGTCCTGCTGATATCCCTACTTGTTAAATATTGGCTTCAAAACCAAAATAGGCGGTTTTGCATCCTCCTCAAAACCCCACCCTCTGATCCACCTTGAAGTGGGGTGCAGAACGACTGTTCAGCGAGACACCACGACTCAGGGTGTTGGCACAACTGTGTATTTATGTCACGAGATGAGATCAGCTGCACGGAGTAGGTCGGTCTGTCTGGAAAGAGTCTGAGTCAAGCGTGTCCTATTACATTAGAGCAGGATTTTCAAAGGAGCTCAGCTCCCACTTAGGCTCTGTAACAAACAGACAGATATTCAAAAGGAGTCGGACGTGCTGGGTCATACTGGCTGCTGAGCTGAAGTCCTTTGAATATCCAGCCAAACCGTCAGTGTGCCTGTTGCTACAGGCAGAGCCCTCCCGAAATCCAGCCCCACTGTAGGCTCCACGTCCTGGGAAACCAAGCTCATCTCTGCTCTCCCACATATCACACTGCAGTAGGTGACAAAAACGTGATAACCACCGTGTCCTCATGCATGTGGGGGGAGCAGCTCCCTGTCAGACCACAGCTCTGGCAGCTTTGCCCTTTGATCAGCTCAGCAGCATGGGTCAGGAGAGCTGAGCATGAAGGTTTCCTTGCCTTTTGTTCTGTGGAATTAGCAGAGTTAATCAGAATGACAGCGACTTCTGCCTCAGCGCAGAGGAAAGGTCAGTGGCTCAGGCTGGATGCACGACTGTTTTCTAGACAGTTGGAAAACAACACCATGAAAGCTCATAGCATACATGCTGCTGGCACGRAGGCTCTCCCAACAGGGACCAGCAGGGAAGATGTTCCTGTGGAGTGAAGGAGGCTGGAGGAGGGCTCTGCTTGGCTGGCTTGTCACRGCACTTCATTCGTCCTTTTCCTTAYGCTGCACAGTGAAGGTATGCCATGYTCTTTGTCACTGTGCACTGCTTGTGTCACCAAGATAGTATCATCAACTTCTCTCTGCCAATGTTCTTCTTARCCACACTCCTGGGTGTGCATCCTTCTGAGCTTGGGGTCCCTGTCACCTCAGTACCCTGGTGTGGGAAGAGCTGCAGGGCACTGTGCTGGCACATGGAGCGGTTGCTGGGTGTCCCCTTCCCACCACATTCCCCCACCACCTCCATGCTCAGGTGGGCAGACCTTGCTGTTACTGCATTTGCATCCTTCAGTCGCTGTAATGTGCTCCAGTGAACCCCCAGAACCCCACTGCTGAGCTGCTCTGGAGCTGCGGGCACTGGAAGTGCAGCAAGGGCAGCCCTGCCATAGCCTCAACTTCCCCATCTCTCAGCTATAGTTGAAACAGTCACAAGAGTCTCAAATCCACTTTCCTTGTCTGTAATGTGACCTCTTACCTTCCTCTGATCCCCGCAATTACAAGTGGCTGTTTTTGCTGTGGACATCCACTCATGTGTCTAATTAGTGGATTCTTTCTGTCAAAGACACTAGCAGCCTCGACAGTGAGCCCTAATTTAAGTAGTTTGCATTTGTCTGCAGCGTTGGTGCTTTCATTTACTCCTGCTYCTAATTAAGTGCATCTGGATATCTGCAGAGGGAGTTTTCATGATCTCTCCATGGCTCTAATTAAAATGGCCTGGATGTCCATGACATTGGTGCCTGTCAAGCCTGTCACCAGGAGGTGACGCCCACCTTGGAACTGGCTGAAGAAGGTGTAGGAGTCGTTGTTGCTGAGAAAAGCCTCCACATCCAGGCCCTCCTGAAGTGCCTCAGCCACCAGCGCTGGGCTGCAGAGGGCYCCTGCTGCCTCGGTGGGCCCATCCTGCCCGTCAGTTCCCCCGCTCAAGAAGAGGATCTCACACCTCCCTTGGGGGCTGCTGGCCCCTGTGGCCTGAGCCCTGTGCAGCCCCAGCCCCACACGCAGGGCCAGCTCCTGGTTCCTCCCTCCCTTGCCGCTGCCTTGCAGCTGGACTGTGGTTTCTCCACCAGCCAGAATGCAGACCGGTCTGTCGGGCCCTAATCCTCGCAGGGCCTGGAGAAACTCCTCAAGGTCCAAGCCTGGGATCTGTAGCTGTGCTGACAGCTGCAGGAGATTCCCCCTCAGCTCGTCACTCAGGGGCCCTTCTCCGAGGCCGGCAAAGCCCAGGCAGAGCAGCTGGATCAGGTGGCAGTACAGCATGGCAACATGGCCAACTTCCCCATGGACTGCTGCACTCAGGACCAGAGCTGCATAGCCCAGACCCTCGGCCTGGCGTTTGGCCTCCTCCAAAGCCAGCGTGTTTGACCCGAGGATGAGGTTGGAAACATGGGAGTAGTTTTCTGGAGCAGAGGGCTTGGTGGGAGAGCTGGAAAGGACGGTTTCCACGGACTTGGGCAGGCTGTGCAGCAGGTTGTATTTGGTGAGTATCTGAAGGCAGTCTTGGACACTGTGGGAGCTGGCAGCAGTGGGCCCACTCGCTATGATGTCCAGGGGGTCACCTATCACATCAGAAAGGATGAGACTCACCACCTATGGAAAGAAATGCCCACAGATTATTGCAGGAGGCAAAGACAGGTGATCACACAAGAGCCCTGGCATAAGCACTGCTCTGAGAGCCACCTCCACATCAAAGCAGACAGAAATGGGGCAGGTCTTGGCCCATTTTTGTTTTATGGTCCTGTGAATGTTACCCTGCCCTTCTCAAACCCACAGATTTACRATCACCTTTGATGCTGGACCATCATGTTGGAAGATGTAACCTGTGACACTGCACTTGCCAGGCCCAGCCTAGTATGGGGTCAGCAATGGCACACACTGAGAACAGCCCCAGGGGAGCCAGGGGTCAGAGCCAGCCTTGAAAGCACTGTGCTGAAGCACCAACACTTGGAAGTGCCTACTGGGTGAGGGCCGGGGTCTGCAAAGAGTGGTGTGATAGGATGGCTGATGTTTCCCAAGTCTGAATTCCCACTGTCACCCTGAGAGTTTTGGTCYTCAGTGAAATCTCAGCCAGAGTGTGCAAAGTGTTCACTCACGRTGGAGAAAAACCCTGCAAGTTGATTAAACCTCTACTTTGAGAGTGGATGGGTGATCTCAGGGCATGCAGGGGCTTTCCCTGTATTACCCGTGCGGGATGTGCCAGCTGGGCCAGCCCTCCACCCTTCAGCACGGACAAAGTCTTCCGGACAATGTTCAGCTCCTGGATGGCAGCTCCTCGGGAAGCCAGCATCTTTGTGAGTTTCTCCTTCTCTTCGAGGAGGATGGGAGGGATGGGAGCAGGCAGTAGGGCTGATCCACCCCCTAGGATGCAGAAGAGATGGCAAGGACATCAGGACAGCAAGAGAACGAGGACAAAGAAGAGCAAGGCTTGAGCCTTTTCCCTCACCAGTATCTGGAGAGAAGGCAGAGCAGATTGGGGACTCAAGCTAACATCTCTGGGGCATTCAGTCATCGTCACCAATGGGTTTTAATCACTTCACCCAGGCGGTGTGAGTCTGGCTGGATGGGGGTGCCACATGCCTRCAGTGCTGTGGGGATGACAGAAAARGGACAGCARCTCCCATCACCTCTACACTGAGCTACAAGGAGGGCCTCACGCTGATATTCAAGGGCTGCCTGGATGGGTGAGCAGGAGCACAGCCTCCACAGCTCAAACAGCAGCCAGTGCTGTGCACATGGGGACACTGCCTGCTTTGGTGGCTCCATTTATTCAGGATAGTGTGTAAACACACTGGCTGTGGATGGAGCAAGATTGGAAACTGCTGAACTGCACTCATCTAGGTCTGGGAGGAGAGAAAAGGGGTGACAGTGATGCAAAGGACAAAGCACACCCAGAGTCTAGGGTGATAGCCTCACTGATGGAATTCCATCTCATTCAAGCAGGCATTGGAAGTATGGAAAAGAAGGCAAGGTTCTAATGGAGAAGTGGATTGGATGGGAAATACAAAGGAAAAAAAGAGCAAGGTCTGTGCAGAGAGGGAGCATGCACAGAAGTACAGCTGAAAGCTACTGTCAAAATGCAAAGCCTGCTCAGAGGTTTGAGACAAATCAGCATCAATAAAACATGATGAGCAAGAAAAACAAATGCAAATGCCTGTGTTTCAGTCAATAGCCAGGGATCTAGCTGAGAGGCAGGAGCAGTTGGGGACCGGCTGCTGTGTGGGAGTGCACATGCATAGGGAGTCACAGCCACGGGGAGATCCTGTACAGGCTCCCTGAAGGGCTGAGGAGTCTCTTGGAGATCCCTGTAGCCAGAAGACAGGAGGAAGCCCAGGGGAATCCCCAGAAAGCACAGCTAGCTTCCAGTCACTTGGGTGTTTGCCTGATGGCACTGCTCTCTCTGCACCAGCTCAGGCTCCAGCATCCTCACAGGAATAAACACTGAGCAGAGGAGACCCAGGCATTTCTGCAGAGCTACTCCAAGCCCCTGCATGCCTTTGCCTGTGACACCCACTACCCTGCTGAGCTCAGGATGAGGTGATGTCACTGCATCCCTCCTGACACATCCCTGGATCTGGGGACAGCCTGGGGGCCGGCAGCCAGGCCCTGGGGTTGTGCAGAGCTGCTCCTGCAAAGCATACAGCTCACTGTGTTGGTACCTGGAGGCTTCATTTCCACTGGCTGGGAAGGAGCCAAGCCCTCGGAAAGGTCAGTGCCAAATCTCAGCTTTCCAACTCACACCCCTGCACAAATYAAGAGCGTGCAAGTCCACCAAGTGCTTGCTTTTCCAAGTTTGCATCCCCAAATGTAAGGAGGGGGCAGGAAGAAAGTGTCTCCTTGCCAAGAAGTGGGAGCAGCTGCCAAGCTGTGGCCAAAGGTGCCACCTCACAGCCACGGCACAACCACAGCACCCAGCCTGTGCAGCTCAGCCTCTTCCCAGGGCTGGAAGGCAGAGTGTCCACTGCAGAGGAGGAAGCTCTGTGCTTTCTCTTGCTGCATCCCTGGAGAAAGGATGACAGAAGGGAGAGGAAAAAACCACAGAGATGCAAGCATCCATGCTGAAGGGGCTGGCACAGCATTCCTTTGCTGTATGGGCATGGGTGGGCAGGCAGCTGGGGGCCCTCAGAGGATCCCATTCCCTGCGATCCCCACACTACCTGAGATGAGTACAAGGAGCAGGTCATCTGCAGTCAGACCCTCAGCCAGCTTCTGGATGGCAACTGCTCCCTTCAGAGCCTCTGCATCTGGRAGGTTGTTCTTGGCACCTTCGATGACCTGGATTTTGCTGTGTGGCTTCAGCAKCATCTCCCTGGTGAGGTAAGAGAGGCAGTCACACTGCGGATCTGTGCACCCACAGGCAGCCAGGCTGTCACCTGCAGGTGCCTGGTGTACCAGTGGCACAGAGCGAGTGACCAGAAGAGGGAGATGGCCTTTGCTGAGTATCTCTTTCCCGCAGCTGGGGGGAAAACAAGAAGTGGGCTGTGTCACTGGGACGTGATGGTGGTTGAAGATAAGAGCAGTGGGGTGGATGGGGCGGGCAGCTGGACAGGACTTAAGATGTTCACAGCAACATCYCAGAGGACAAATCTGGCAGCCTACAGCCCTCCTTCCTGCTCCCCACAATTGTCCAGAAACAGTCCTTACTGCATTCCYGCTCGCCGCAGGCTCTCCTGGATCCCTAGCGGCACATTGATGATCCCCCGAGTGAGGTGATCTCCCAGGATCTCTTCTGCTGCTGCGGCCATCCCCAGCACAGCTTTTCCAAAGCCCACCAGGTACAGGTCCCTCTTCACTGGAAAGGCCTGGCCCTTCACCAGCAGCTGAGGGCAATCATCTCCCTGGAGYTTCAGAGCCCTCTTCAGCATGGGAGCTGGGCGGACGGTGCCCACGGCGCTGCGGAACAGGGACAGCGCGTGCTCRCGGAGGGACATGGTGCACAGGCTGGCAGGGCTGAGCCACTCTGTGTTCTGGGGTGGGCTTGGGCACACTCTGCCAGCACTGGCAAGGCCTCAAGGGCTGGGACAGCCAGCAGCCTCCAACCTGCAAGGGAAAGTGAACATTTTTGCTAGTAGAAGAGACAGAGCTGTCATAGAAAGAACAGAGGTCAGAACATGAATTGAGGAACTCTAGTTCCTGTATCCCCTAGATTAAGGTGCCATATGAGCAGCACTTTCTAACTTTTCCCCAGGCAGGAAGAAGGGAAGGACAGTGTCACATTCAAACTACCTGTCAGCTTGTAATTCCCCTGCAATCTCATCACCTCCTGCAGGGAAGGTGAGCTCTGCCAGCCAGCTTCTCCATCATTGTAGCKTTGCCACTGGCAATCCATCATTTCTATTTGCTTAGCGTTTGACACCTTTCCAAACCATGGAAGCTGCTCTCTGTCCTGGAGAGAGCAAGGCRTCTGGGTGGAACAGCTTTTCACTACATTAACTCCCTTCCTCATGCTAGCCAAATGCTGATCTCATCCTCTGGCTGTGCATTGCCCCATGTGTCCCTGCAGCATCAGGCATGGACTAAGGAGAAACAACAGCCTTGCTGGCTGCCTCATCCCTTGCTGCTGGTGGCCACAGAGAGACCAGTAATGAGGTTTCCTCACCAAACAGCAAATTAACACAAGGCTTCATTTGCGTTTCTCTTTAAGTCCTCATTATCCATTAAAATCACATTTAGAGCCCAAATAAGACTTCATATCCAGGCAAAGTTACCAGCCGTGTCTGTGAAAGCCCATTTGAGCTGTTCTCCACTGAGCATTAGCATTATATGCAACAGATCTGTTCATGGACCGAAAGATCTCAGCTGCTCAAGGGCAGATACTTGTCTTGACAGAGGAAAGGAGGCCCCTGCCAGCACACACACATCTATTCCCTCCCAGCATTTCTCCTTCCTTCTGTTAACTGGCAGCAAGTTCACTGCTGGTTTCTGAGGATCAAAGATCCTTGTGATCTGCATCTCTCCAGCTCACGGCGTTTAAGGCAGGGTGCCAGAAGGCTGAAGCAGCTGGGGCAACACACTTGATTCACAGACCCATTGAAATTACCTGAGAGAGTTAATCCTCTCTCTTGTAAGTGGATGTATTTTGTGCAAGGGCTTCTTTTAGGAGTCTCAGGAGTCCAGAGGTCTCTTTGTTCTGACACTCCCAGCATTGCAAGGTGTTAATCATTAAGCTGGACAAGTTTTTCAGTAGCTCCTCTAGGTCTAAATATGGCTTATTTTGCTGCAGGGACCCAAATGATTCACACAAAAAACCTCTACACAAGCACCTTCTCAGGCATTGAAACATGGGCACATTGAAATATTTGTAAAAGGGACTTGGAGGTAAGGCTCTATGGAGAATCAAAGGTTAGTCAGAGAAAGAATCCTAAGAATCACTGAAATGGGAAAGGACCCTTAAGAACAAGACTAACAGTAAACAATTTAATGCTTAGGAGAACAGATTTTAAAAGCAAAAGATTAACTGCCTGTCTGTACTCCCTTTAGGTACTGGTCAGAAGAACTGGCTTTTCAAGCACGAGGAGAGAGGAGAATAAAAGACAGGGTGCCCTGACCACTTTGTTACTGGACTCTGAGGCTGCCAGCAGTTTATACCACTGACCCCACCTCAGTGAGGGCCAGGGTAACTGTGCTGGCTGCAGTGAAGTCAGCTGTGTACCTCTCAGGAACAGAGATAAGGATCTGTGCTCCCTGCAGGTCTCTGATTCACCCAGCAGCACAGAGCAATCAGAAGAAGGTGCTACAAAGCAGAGGTGCATCATACCCCAGGTCACCTCGTCTGAGCTGTGATACAGGGTTTGCAGGAATGGCTGGAGAAGAAAGCTTAAATGGAACTAGGGGAGTTTAAGAAAATAAAGCCCTAAAGTTTTTAACAGGCTTTGTCTCTGCCTTGATGTTTCTGTGCACGGCTGACCCTGAAGCCCCGGGGAATTGAGCACAACCAGACCTGCAACYGTGGCTCCTGTCACACGTGCCCTCCTGGCAGCCCCGTTCAGCAGCTCCAGACACGACACAGCAGACGTGAGTTCTTTAAAAGCAATCCTCTCCTAGTGGAGCTGGAAAAACTAAATGCCAGCTTAATTCATCTGGCACTTGTGTACATACTGCTAATGCTTACTCTGGAAAGCATTTCGGTACAATAGCAGGCATGTAATCTGTTTTCTGCACTCTGAACTCAGATTATATTTTAACCATTGAGGCCTGATCCAGAGTCAGCAAGCACCTTTCCATTGCTTCTCAGGATTTCAGGGCCCACTGCCTGATCTCAGAATACAGGTGCAAAGGCAGAATAAATACAGTGTAAAACCCCCTTGCAGTCAGAGGTTATCCAACTTTGTACCAGTGCAACAGAGAGCTGAATTTGGCACAGATCCATTTGCTTTGGATGTCTCAGTGAGTGACTCTCCTCCTTGTCAGCTCTGATTAGACACACAGACTCACTGGAGGCTCCCCTTGGAATGGGGGTGCTGCTAATGATACCACGAATCCATTTTTATGTAATTTATTTATACAGTCTCAGGCACTGGGTACTAAATGTCATCAGGGAACAGCTATAAATCACTGCTATGAAATCCACTGTAGATATTAACAAAAAATAAAACTCCTACTCATTTTACTAAGGCTTTAAAAACAAGATCAAGAGAACTGAATATCACCCCAAAACACAGGGAGTTGTGGAAAGAAAAATAACCCAAATGGCAGCTCTCAGGCTYCCTCCCCAGATGGTGGGTTTAGAAGCAGTGTAATTGCCTGTTAGCTGCACGAGGGGAAATTACACCCTCACATCCCCACGTTTTCCTCTTCCCACTGCTGGCTGGGAGGAACCTGGGCTGGGAGAAGGGGCTGCTGATGTGACTCATATTGCTTCRTGCACTAATCTTAGTTTCCCAGTTTTTCAGGGAAATCACTTAGGGATGAATGAGCCCTCTTCTACATGGATATAAGGTGACATGCTATAGGCACGAATGGGGTTCAGGTTTCACACCTTCCCTTTGTCCCTGGTTAGGATAATTTGGAGCTGGGATATAGATAGTCTTTTGAAAAGTTTTTTGTAAGTTCGCACTAAGCTTAGCATGAAAATGATGCTAAGAATTGCCTGTTTCAAAGAGAGCTGGAGGATTGTAAGGGGTTTAGATTAATCCCCTTTAAATGAAAACTTCCTCAGCTTTCATTGATGAATAATCTACACACTTATAATAATCTACACTCACCATTATAAGCCCTTTCTTCAGAAGGCTCCTCCTAAGCCTGTAGAAATTTCCACTGTTAGCTCTCATACCAAAAAGCAGCAAAACCCCAGCTTCTCATTTTCGCCTTCTCTGGGAAAGAGGGAGGGAAAGGAGCTGGACTGTGATAAAATACAGGCAAAACGCTCGTTTGCATTACCTTTCATTAACTTTTTAATTAAAGCAATTCTGCAGGCAAGGAGCCAAAGTCAGAGGGAGACAGAAACAATCCAGCAGTAGGGGCAGAAATGTGGTAAAGCTGCCAAGTAAATTGGATGGTGGCAAGGGACCAAAAGCATGGACATAGCAGGGCAGAGACTGAGCCATAAACTTGGAGTCACACTGGGGAGGAAAACAGTGAGCAAATGAGCTGGCCATGCCCATGCAGTGAGAAAAATGAGCCAGCACCTCACTCCATGGCAGGTACTTAAAAGTCAGAAAAATAYTCCTTTCTAGGGGCCAGTCTGCCATCACTGGGCAGAGCTGAGCTATTCCAGGTGCTGTGGTTGGAGGTTTGTTYAAGGATTTGCATCTTGGGCATGTGGTTTTTTTGAAGTCGGGGCAATTGAACTTGTTGCAGGCCAACCCAACCACACACACATCCTGAGCGTTTCAGGTGCTGTGAGATCAGAGGGTGCTGTGCCAGAATGTCTAATTTAACTGAGAACTTCAGGGACCTAGGTTACTTTAATGCAGTCAGGATGCCTCTGGACTTCCTCCAGGATTGGTGGCTGCCCCACCTTGTACAGGGTCAGCTTCAAAATCCCTGAGGGGCTTGGAAAATATGTGAGATGGCGCTGGATCAAACCCCAATTGTTTGAGGATAATTTTRAGCTCAAACTCTAAAAGACAGATCACAGTAGTAAACTCCCAGACACAGCAAGTTTTAGCAGTGTCTCTTGCTCCTCGTTTTTCTKGCTGCACGACTTTTTTCTGGCCTCTCGGCATGTAAATTACTGACAGACTCACCAAGGCTCCCCGCTTCCATTTCTCCTGCATCACCAGGGGAATTTACCTACAAAGTACAACAGAGCAGAGATTTTACTGCCTTAAATTCCCCCGTTCCCACTTACTGACACATCTTCTCTATCATTTGATATATCAACTTTAATTCGCCTGGTGAGCCTGCTCAAACCCAAGCCTGCTGCTCCACATGGTCCCAAAAGCATTACAAGAAAATTTTCAAGGAGATGCACTGAACCCAGGAGGGAAACAAAGCAGTGAAGGCTTGTTCCAAGTGACTATTCTGGGAGGATTAGATGGGGGATTTTTCAAGACTAATCTCTTTAAATGAAAATTTCAGAATTTGATTAATTTTTTAATCTGCACATGGATTTGCATAAAATTACCGCACTGCCTCATTCACATTTGGTAAAAGAGAAAATATCTGCAGCAAGGATGGGCAGCTGTGAAAGGTCTGGTACATGAGTGGGTGTGAAGGGACAGGGTGAAAGGCCCTTTGCCCCCACCCATTGCAGTACTCCTGCATCTGTAAGTGGGAAAGAGGATGAGAGTGGACAGCAGCAGCATGATGAGACCAGAGGGTTTGCCAGGCAGAAAAGGGACAAAGTAGAGTGGAGTATGGACACCTTTGTTTTAAGAATATGCTGAGCTCTGGGAAACCCAGGAGTCCTAGTTTCCAATACATGGCTTTCTATATGTTGCTTGGAAAAGAAATATGCTGCTCTCATGACGGATTTACTCACCAGGAAAGTGTCAACAGGGTCTCTTTCCCTTTGATGGGGAATGTGGCTTAAGGCCAAACACAGGGAAGATAAGTGTTCTATTCAGCATTTTATATATATAGATCAGTATCATTAGCAAAAAAAAAATTAACTGGATTTGACATATGCATCTTACTAGTTTTTCTAGGTCACACTCCCTTCACTCCCTATATACCTTTTGGAAATGATTTTCCTGTACACTGGGGATTGCAAGGAAGAAAAATTTTTCACTAAAAATTCTTCTGTAGCTCAACACAGAACACTACTACCCTGAAGCCAAGCCCATGCCAAGTCTACTTYCTTTCATGCTGTAATTTCTCAAACTCCCCATTCTGAGTCAACTTGCCATCAAAGATGAGAGTCATTTAAAATACAGGGAAGGATCACAGTATCTGGAGAAGATGAAAAGCTGCAAGCCTTGAGGACTGGAATAGTAGAAAGGGGTTGAAATTCATTGCTGCGAAGTACAAGGTCATGGTCTTTGGGATTAATAGCAGAAAATTATGAGCTCCTCAGTTGGAAATAACATAAGAGGAAAAAGAGCCAGGAATCTTAATCAGTCACAGGATGACAATTACAGCTGCCCTCTGGGCTGAGACAAGAGGCTGTGGGGGATGTGGAAGGCAGCAGATGTGAACTGCCTGGACTTTGCTGAGGTTTTTGACATCATTCCGTGAGCACGCTGGAGGGTGGGCTGGGCAATCAYGGCCAGCCCTGCTGGAAACCAGCCTGACCACTGGGCTCAGAGGGCAGGAATCAGTGCTCAGGGTCCAGCTGACATCTGGTAATCAACAGGGACTCTGCTGGGGTTCGTGTCACCCCAAGGCTTCATTAGTGACCCAGAGGGTTGCACAGAGCGCTTAATTTGGGGGAATTGCTGATGGAGGCACCTTCCAGAGGAAGGTGATAAACTCAAGGTCAGGACCCACAGCAAACTCAGGACCCTCAGTAGGGAGAAGTGTGAATTTTTGCTGCTGAGCAAGCACAAGTCCCTGTACTCTGCAGATTCCAGTGGTATCTAATACAGAAATGCATAGGTAGAATAACTGCATTTGATCGATATTACTCAAGCAGCAATTAAACATTTTTTCCATTAACTAATTTTGCAAGGGCATTATCCATAATTCCTACTTAATATGACATTTTTCTAGGAGATCCAATTATCCTGCCAGCTGAATTCCAGCTTGGTATAAACTGACAAACTAAGTTCCAACGATTAGGAAGAAAGGCAGAAGAATAAAAAGGAAGTGACAAAATATCAAATCAACAACCCACGGTGTTATACAACTCTAAAACTTAGCTAAGTATTGTAGGTGTTTTGAAGTAAATTGTCTTATGATGTTATTGGTGACTCACCTCCAGGGCCCGCAGGAGATAATCCAGGCTTTGATCCTGTAATTTAGAGTGTGCAGGAGGCACGACATTCCGAGCTTTTCTAAAACCTCTCATCACACGAAAATCACTTGTGGGTTTTGAACTGGCCTAACAAAGGGACAGCTGACCCYGAGACCCTCAGGAGTAATGAGGGTGTTTTTTGAGTCTCCCCGGACTCTGGTGTGAAAACCTTGTCGTTGTTTAAAAGTAAAAAAGGTAAATTGTTCTGAGGAGCCAATGCCACTGCAGTGTGAAAGGATGAGCTCTCTAAACATGTAACAGGGACCTTCAGCAAGCAAATAGCAAGGGCAAGGAACTTGAGAAAAGAAATATTTAACTAAATCAGACATGCACACAAAATAATTCAGCCTATTTGAAGAACGTGCAGAGCTTTAGGAGTCCCTGGACTTGCTGAGGTTTGACCACAGGAGGGCAACAGGAGCCAAATACAAAATCAAACTAYTCTGGACACTATGAAAGGAAAATGCAATTAACATTCAGGAAGGCATCTACGGTTTATTTTTTTCTTTTGATTCTGACTTTCTGGGGGACCGAAGTGACAAGAAGATCTGCGGGTGTTCTAAATTTAAAATAGCAGAAATCTTTGTGGGGTGAGATTCTCACAGCTGCYGTTACACTCCAAGAACAGCTTTTTAAGGTAAGAAATACACAAAAATAGGCACACTGAGCCTGTCATCAGGATTAATGATAGAAAAAAGCAGTTTCAAGGTGTGTGTATTGGAGCAACAGCCTCAAAGGCCACTGTGTGTTTCTCAAAGGCTTAAGTGTGTGCTGCCCACCTTTACCTGAGAGCTTATGTGATGTAGGACCATGGACTGCAGGACTGCCTGCAGGACTTTAAAGGAATAAAAAAATACTGGGAAATAAAAAAGTGCAATAGCTGGACTGAAAGTAGGAGGGGAAAGGTGAGAAAGTGATCATGGAGAATTTCAAAGGAGGGGGAGCTGACTGATGCTCCCTGGCCACACTAGGCTGTCCAGAGGCTGTTCCTGCCGGATTCTGCTGAGAGGCCAGCACAGCCTGTGTGCCCCATAAATGATTCACAGAATCAACTATATTGGAAAAGAATCTGAGATATCAAGTCCAGCCTATGACCCAAAACCAGTGTCAACCAGACCACGGCACTGAGTGCCACATGCAGCCTTTCCTTCAACACCTCCAGAGACAGTGACTCCACCATCTCCCTGAGCAGCCCATTCCAATGTCTCAGTATCCCTTCCGTGACGAAATTCTTCCTGATGTCCAGCCTAAACCTCCCCTGGCACAGCTTGAAGCTGTGTCCTCCCATCCTGCCAGTGGTTGCCCAGGAGGCAAATCCACACAAGGCTGCAATCTCCTTTTGGGRAGCTGTAGAGAGCAATAAAGTCTCCCCAGTAGCTCCTTTTCTCCAGGRTAAATACCCCCAGCTCTCTCTGCTGCTCCTCACAGGATTTGTCCTCCAGGCCCTTCACCAGCTCTGGTGCACTTGTTTGGATCTGCTCCTGTATTTCAGTACCCTTCCTGAACTGAGGGGCCCAGAACTGGACACAACACCCGAGGTGTGATCAGTAAAGGGGCACAATCACTGCTCTGCTCCTGCTGGCCATACTGCTACCAATACAGCCCCTGTGCCACTGGCCCTCATGGCCACCTGGGCACACACTGACCCATGCTCAGCCGGCTGCCGACCAGAGCATTTCTCTCTAGTTTCCACTGGAAACTCAGCCAGACGCCTTTAACCAGCACAATCCGGTAACATTTCTCGCAGGGTGAGGCTGTCCCGCGGTTCCCGCGCCCCCTCAGCAACGCCAGGACGCCCCGCCTGCCCCGCACCGGAAGTGACGTACCCCTACCGGCGCGAGGCCATTGCCCGCTCTACTGGATGACGTCATGCTCCCAACGCGGCCTCCCCCACCCCGCAATATGCACGGACAGGCGGGTGGGTAATGAATCCCGGCCCCGTCACAGCTGACCGACCCTGCCCCGCGCCGCCCCTTCTCACCTGGGGCCCCAGGAGCGGCGGGGATGGTGACACACGCGGRTAACCGCGGCGGACAGGGAGCGGGCAGCCCTTTCTGCCACTCCTGCCACACTCAATATGGCCGCCGGGCGTAGGCCACCCCGCCCTCCCCCGTCCCAGCAGCCCGTGCGCACGCCCCCCGTTCCCAGGGTGCCCCGCGCGGCCCCGCGGAGCCGCAAGATGGTGGACACAATGAGGGGGAGCCGCCTGTCCGCGGCCTGACCGCGCCGAGCCCGTCGAGCCCACCGCCCTCCGCCCTCCACCACGGTCCGCCGCTGCCCCTTGCCGCCCTTCACCGCCCCGCCCGGACCGGTCCACCCGCTCCCGCCACCGCCCGGGGCCCCGCCCGACCGCCCTCAGCAGCGCCGCCGCCGCCCTCGCTCGGCGCGGCCCGGCGGGCGGGATGAAGCTGACGGACAACGTGCTGCGGAGCTTCCGCGTGGCCAAGGTCTTCCGCGAGAACTCGGACAAGATCAACTGCTTCGACTTCAGCCCCAACGGCGAGACCGTCATTTCCAGCAGCGACGATGACTCCATCGTTCTCTACGACTGCCAGGAGGGCAAGTGAGTGGCGGGGCCGGGGGTGCAGCCTTCGGGATCTGGGGCAGTGCCTGGAGCACGGGGCGGTGTGAGGGGCCGSGGGGGCTGCCTACGGTGGCTTTTGGGGACAAGCTGTTCCTGGCGTCGCGGGTCTGGCCGGTGAGCTTTACCTTGAGCTTCTCTCCTGCTGATTTTTGGTGTAGGCTTGAGAGTAGAATCCCAACGGCAGGGATGGGAGCAGCGTGCGTTTGTCTGCTCTACGGGTGTACTTGTTATCTTGGTAGGCTGGAGACAGGCGTGGTATTTTCTTAAATGTAAGCGAAAGTTCACTTCGCTTAGCAGTTGTTAAGCGTGAAGGTTTCAATCTGGTTACATTTCCAGGTCTCGGGACTGCTGCAGGTGTGACTGCATGGAACTGACTTCTTGGTCTTCTCTGGGCTTAARTCTCCCTAACTAAAATAGAAGTGATTGTTGTGAGCAATGTACAGATGTACCCTTTCAAACGCCTCATTTGAGTGTAACTTCTTGGATAAATGCTTTAAGCCAAAAGGTGCAGATAATGTGGTGTGTATTACTGTAACTTCTAAAAACCTGCTGGTCTTTTCCATAAAACTCAGTTCCTAGGTGGTGACTTGGAACACTGGAGGCAAACGTGATCCTCTGTGCTTTAAATCCTTTTCTCTAGTTGTGTCCTTATCTGTAAAACGCAGTTAAAATGCATGTGTGATTTGCATGTGTCTTCAAGTATTGTTTTAGTTCAGATGTAATCAGTTAAGGTGTTTATTGATTTCTGTTACCTAAGGGAAATGAGTTAAGRGTGTGTTTCTGTTTCTCATTTAACTGTCCGGTTTTATCTTTCTTCTTCCATTGATCGCATGTTCTTGTCATATTTTTCGGAAATCTCCCCCTCCCCGAAATTTTGCAGAACACTTCAGATCTGGTGCTCCTGTTCAGAGGATGGATATCTAGACGAAAAGTGTTTGTAGTTTGTGAGAGTTGGAACAAATTGAGCCAAATGGTGTCATTATTCCATTAAAATCTTTCTCACTTAGTGCAAGTGTACATTTGTCTGCTTTAAATTCCTTTAGATTTTAAGTTTTACATGTGCTTACTGGTGTAGAGATGTAGTTCTGAGGGTTTTTTTGTAAAGTCAAGACAGGGAAGCATCACATCTGTGCAGAAAATTAAAGGAAAACAAGTATGTTCATTAAAGAACAGGGTAATGCAGGAATGAAAAAGATATGGCTTGGGACTACCACGACAGAAATATGTCAGTGTTGTATATATTTTCTGGTAAACCAGGTATTTATAATCGTCCTGCTCTTCTAAGCMGACCAAGACATTATAYKTGMTGGGAGGAAAGATTGTCTCCTGCAWATTCTTTTAATTTTGTGGGACACCTATTATGTATTATTTTAGACTTCTATTTAGTTGGCTTGCTTTACACATTAAAGTTATTGGTTCCCCGTCTGATAGAATGAACTCTGACATGAAAATACTTAATTTTGATTTATGTAAGAACAGGTAACTCTATACATATGGAGTGTGCCATAGATCGTATCCCAGATCCTAATTATGTACAGTAGTAGCAGGGCTGAGTGATGTTAATGCATATGGTATTGATTGCTCTTCCCCTTTCAAACTTGTAAAGAATAGTTTGATGGGTTGGGAGGCATTTGGCCCTTTCATTCCAATCTCCATCTAATCCTGATGTGCTTTATAGTCAGAGGGTTTGCTTTAATTAAGTTAAATGTAGATCAATGGTCCTCTACTGCAGTGCTGCAGGGCAACGAGAGTAGTTTCAAGGTAACTCCTGTGTGAGGGTGGAGTTCTCTAGTGGTTATAAAATTKTAAAATTAATTTGAAAGTTTCTCATGTACTGTCAACTGGCTTAAAAGTGTAGCTGTGATTTTTAGTAAAAACTAGGGATGCAGGACACGGTTGTTCTCWAACCTGGAAAGTTTTAGCTCTGAATTACTTCGTCACTGGAAATTCATGTGAGAATTCATGAGATGAAACATCAGGTCCCTGAGTGATCATTGTTGCTTCAGTTTCAGGCCTGTAGTTTATTTTTCCTTATAAATCACAGTTTCAAGAGCCCAGATCTCTCACCTGCTTGGAATTTTCATTGCTAATGGATATGATGGCCAGGAGGAAATAAAATATTCTGCTTGCTAGGTTTCRCTGTAGGATACCCTACTTCATTGAATGGTGTGAAAATTAATGCCTTTCCCTGTGTAAAACTGGGAAACTTTGGTGTGTGTCCTCTGTTAATGAGCACTTTYGCTGGTAGAATTAAAATGCAGCTGTTTAGTTGTACTTTAGGTGCAACCTCACCTAATTTGCTTGTTGTGCCACACCAAAATGAATTGTAGAGCTCTATGAGAGTGTGACCAACCCCATGTCTGTGAACTTCAGCTTCTGACAGTGTCAGGACTGTTGAAACAGTGTTGTGTAGCCAAGGGCTGACAGGACGAGATTATCTCCTTATCATGTATGTTCTGGGCTTCGGCAACTGCTTATTCATGAGCATCCAGTAATTTTGGTTCAGAGATTCCACTTCTATTTCAAAGTGTGGAAACAACTAAATTACTAATTTTTTTAACCCATCCTGCATCACCAGATTCCTCCACAGTAGGCTGGCTCAGAAGCATAACTAAGAGGCTCATTGGAGTCTGTTGGGACTTTCAGAGGGATTCTGAAAGCTTGTAGGACAGTTTTATGTTGGGGTGTAAAGCAATCTGTGAGTCTGGGAACAGCCTGGCTGCACATTAGTAACCCTGCTATGATTGAATGGTGCTCTAGCAAAGCTTTAGCTTGTATTTTAGTGAATATCAATTGTGTATTGATGGAATAGAGTAAAGTGATGGAACTGGACTCCTGCTTAGCTGTGGTGTTTGCTGGGCACATCCATGTTCCTGGTTTTGGTTGATGTTCTACCCATAGCAGCAGTGGTTCAAACCAAGGCACAGATGATACTTCAGACCTCACCTGCGTTTTGTTTCATCTTTGTTGCAGATTTATTGAGATCTTGTGAAGTATTTTTCTTTGTCAATACTGTTTGGTTTGCAGGTGGGCCGGATAGATTGACATTGGAATTATGTTTAGGGATTGTGATTTGTTGTTAAAAAGTACTTGGTTTTCTTGTTTGTGTTTAAAATAATTGATTGGCAACAGGTCTTGTATGCAGTGACACACTTCTGCTTGTATCAGTTTGCATGAAAACTTCACCTTTCCTAAAACACAGAAYTCTTTTTCCTTTTTGGTAAATGTGCTTTTGTCTGTTCTTTATTGTCTCTGTATATATTAATTTATTCTAAATAGATCTTCAAAGCTTTAAATGTGTAATAGAAAGGGAAAATCCAAAGTAGACATGGGAGTATCTAATATAATATGTTTTGAGATTTTTTTTTCTTGGTTTGTTGTTGGGCTTTTTTCCCTCTAGTTTGGTCAACAGCATAGCTGAGGTAACTTGAGAAAGCAGTGTGGGAAAGTATTATCAGGCATAATGTTAGAGTGTGTCAAAATTTAATTTGGATGTGYTGTTTTTAGTGTGTGGCACATTTGCATCTGAAGAACTATTTAAAAAACTGCTGGTGGAACTGGGGAAGAATCAGTTGAGATTTAGTTTGTGGTACAGGTGTTGTGTGGGTTTTCACTGCACTTGCTGTATTGGCTTTCACTTCATGGGAACTTGTCCCCAGCAAGTTCGTTTGAAGTCAAAGYCCTATGGCTTCTGCTGCTTGAGAATTATTCTTTAAGAATGAATGTCTRTTTTTATTCTGATATGAAAAATCCCCCACTTGTGCTTGTTTGGGTGTGTCAGTTTGAGGCTAATGAAAAAAAAGGAAAAAGTCCAGCATATTAGAAATACCTTGTCKGAGGGTGTAGTCTGATAAACTTTTCTCTTGGAAGCAATATTGGTTTTGACTGCTCCTGCTGTTTGTTTCCATTCCCATGCTGTTCTCTTTTGGTTATGTGGGTAAAATATCTTGTGGGCCTGTGTAATAACCATAGTTATGAATTTCTGGATTAAAAATAACTCCCGGAAGAGRTGGTATTTCTGGTGTTGATCAGTACTCTTGCTGGTTGACTGCCCAGCTCTGAAACCTTCATGCTCCCTCAGTTGCAGATGAAAAGGGAAGGAGGGTGGTGGAGACTTTGCACTGCTCAAACAGGCACCAGTGTTGTGAGATACCCATGTTAGCCAGCTGCTTCTAAGCTTATTCTGCAGTTTATATTTCTAGTACTGCAGTGAATTATCTGCTTACCAGACCCCAAAAAATCCAAAAACCCAAAAAATTCTGTAGGTTGTGTTCTCTCTCRTTAGAGTGTCTTTCATTCTGTTGCAAAATGTTAAATTTGAATTTTTTTGCCTTAAGATTGGATGCAGGTATAATTCTGCAGTGTTTTGGAAAACTCCCTATGTTTCTATGTCTTTTACAGATGACTAGTACATAGGTATGTTTGGGTTAATACCCCATAAATGAGACATACTGTTCCAGGTTTTGAAGTAACAGAACAATAAGACAAATTATCTCAATCTGAAATAAGCAGCA